GGACTCCTGTCTCACATTGAGGTCTTTCAACCATTTGGAGTCTATTTTTGTGTGTGGTGTAAGGAAATGGTCCAGTTTCATTCTTCTGCATGTGGCTATTTTTTGGTACATCCTTAACCCATGATGTTCGAATTAACTAAGCTCTTCCACAAAATATCTATTTGTTCCAGTGTCAGAGGCAGAAGATTGTTCTCAATCATTTTTCTGGCACAAGATTGACATTTCTCATGACAATGGGATGGACAATGAAAGTATGTAAACTGTATAAGTTCAGTCAGTGTGACCCCTTTGTATTGTTATTAATGCTTATTAGTAATTCATTCAGAGCTCTCTGATCCTGGCTCTCTGTCCTGAGAGGCTGAATTCTGAAAATCCAACAAGCTCTGGGTCAAGGACAGACAATCAGGGGTAAGGGTAACAGAGATCATTGGAAATATGAATCAGAATGAGCACGTGAAGTACGAATACCCTCCCCTCATCCAGTTCAGTCTGCGACCTCTTTTGCCTAAAAGGGAGAGTATTATTATACACCTCATCAGGCTTACAGACTCAAACCTGGAAGCTTTTTTGGTAGCTTTTATAAGAATAACTGTGCATGAGTCCTAACAGTGAGGTGTCCATAACCTTTTAGAGTAGGTCTTTTCATTAATTATTTAGAAAACGGCCAGTTGATCAGAATAGATAAGAACCTTTAGCCAGCCCTTATCCGTCTCTCTTCTCTCTGTGGTAGGTACAGGGATTAGGCGGGGGTTGGGCAGTGGGTAGCTGGGCACTGATGATGGAGCATGGGCGTGCAGGTGCATGCATGCTCACACACTTAACACCACTTGCGACACACATACCAGGATGAGATTGCTTTAAACAGAAAAAATTGACTTACAACAGGTTCTCAGTTGTTTTAAGCTTGTTCCCAGTTTTGTGGGTCACCAGACCTGTGCATGTTAGCACATCTTAGTTAGGCTCTGGGGGAAACAAGACACAGAAGAGAGTTCTAATGGAGTGTTGGAGGCAAAAGGATTTGGGCCAACAGAGGATAAATCTTCAGATGATCGACCTAAGTTCAGATGCTGGCATATTCCTTGTTCTGTGCTCATCAGAATAAAATCACATGCTTCAAAGGAGCTAGTTGGATGACCTCTAAGGTTTTATTTTTGTTTGTTTGTTTGTTTTTTTCTCCACATTAGCTTTTGTTATCTCTTGTCTTTTTTTTTTTTACCTCTAAGGTTTTAACAGTATATAATTCTGATGTTCTGGCCCTCCTGGTATACTCATATTAGCCCAGGGAAGTAATGAAATTTGAGAGGTCTTTGCAAATATAATGCTCGTTGTAAGAGGGTATACTTTATTAGCTGGTTGACTGAACTTATATTTGTATTCTCTATGTATTTTTTCTTTCTGTAATGCTTTAAAAATAATTCCTGGTGCCTTGTGTAACTTTTCTGAGTCTCAACCTCATGTTTCTGAAAGAACGCCTCCCCCACAAAACCCCCACCATCTCCTGTATTTGCAGACTTGCTCTTTGGGTGTGCAGAAGGGGACAGCCTTAGGATCAATGGTGCGCTGGAGCTGACTTATGCTGGCTCTGAAGAGCTGATTATGCACATCTCTTTGCAATTCCGCACTCCATGACATCATGAAATCGGCCATGATGAGAGTGCTTACACCATGGAAATTGGCATAGACTACAGGCCAGTTATTCAAGTTATTACAGACTTACCAGCATTCCACTGCTCAGAATCTTCTTAGTCCATAGTTCACTTCCCCTAAGACAACCTTTCTAAGCCTGAGGCAGGGTCCTATCAGAGACTGCTCTGCTTGGCAATTTGGCACGTATTGACAATTACTGAAAATAATTTGACTGAGAAGTAACACCACCAATAGCACACAGTGGCTGATAGGCATTTGTATTTCTCTGAGGCTAGCATTGAGCACTAAACTTTTTCGTCCAAGGTTAATATGAACACAGTTATACCTAGCCTCTACTAGCCTCTGCCTAGATCTTAAAAAAAAAAAAAAAATCCCAACAAAAATGTGTCCTTTTGCTGAAGCTCTTGATTCTCTCACATTGTCAAATATTGGCTCCTCACTGTACCAAATTATAATAATTCTTGCCAACATGCCTTCCCTGTCAATCAAGAAATAAAATATCTAATGAGTATTTATCACATGTAAGACACAGTGGTGGGTAATATGCTAGAGATCCAGAGAATAATTGTATAGCCTCAAATTATTATTTTCAGGAAGTATGTGATTTAGAGAGGCAGGGCATACACACATGAAAAGTTACATAAGAGAATTTCTGTAACACTCTATAATTTGAATGTATCCAGTAAGTTTCCACCTTCAGGTCAGTCTCAGGGCATTGTTGCATCCAAATAAGCACATGCAAGGGAAGCTGTGAAAGGTTCTTACTAAAAATTTCTGAAGGGTGGGCTCCAGAAGACAAACGTGGGAATTGCGTCCTGTATCATAAAGTGAAGTTTTCTAAAAATCCTCTTTGAATACTGTTTCTCTTTCCCCAAATTATCACCATAGCATCCATCCATGTCTCTCCCTTCTCTTTTCTTCTCTGACTTTCTTTGTCCTCCCCTCTCAGGCCACGTGCTGCTGGTATGCCCCCAGCTCTCAAGATATTTGAGAGAGCTTCATAGGATGTTGTGTATGTCTGCCATAAATAAAAGGTAACAGTTCCACGAGTCTCATAAGGAATATTTGAAATCGGAGGCAAAGCGTTGGTACTTTTAAGTTCAGAAGGTGAGAGAAAGATGAAAAGATCATTTCGGAAAGGAGAAAGCTTTAAGGAGAGAGGAGCCAATGAGTGGAAGGTCTCAGAATAGAGAAGGGAAGGGGAGTGATCCGTGGGGTGCTTCTCTCCTCTGTGTTGTCGGCGGGCAAGTCACTGAGGCAGGCTCAGGGTCCCCCTGTGAGAGGGCGGTAGCCCAGGTATATGCAGGTACCTGTCTCCTGCTTTTCATCTTATCGTGTACTTCCACTTTCTCAAAATGACCCTGAGTCCATGACCTTTTCTCTTCTCCACAAAGAGGACAAGTCGTCTGTGTTTCATGTGGATCAAGGAAAAGACAGATTGATTTTCAGGACATCTCCAAGGGTATAGAAGTAGGGTCACACCTCAGGTATTTGGGTCCTAACCTGGGCTCTAACTGCTAATGTGTTTAGTGGAAGAGTTTTTGCAAACATTTTTAAGATGACAATGTATCTGAAGGAGAGCTAAGCATGAGTTTCTCTTGCTGCCTTGTTGGCACCCGAACAACAATAACCAATGGAAGAGTGTCGCTCCCATGCTGTTCCCGGCACAGAGCATGGGCTACCACACTCACCGGCATGGTTTTGGTATATTCTTGTACCAATCAACTGGAGAAATTTTTAGAATAGTTTTTCCTCTCCTTGTCCATGCAGATTCAAATGACTTTGGTCTAAAGTCTATTGTCAGCAACTCTGCAATGTTCCTGGCTTGAGAATTTTCAGCCTCCTCCTCCAGCCTGCTTGAGAAGTTCTGAAATCTCGCTCCACCATTATGAATCATTGTCAAGACCCCATGTTACCTGAGTGATTCGAACACTTTCCCATGTCTTTGTGATGGTGGAGCTGTCAGCATGGGACCTAGGGAGTCCTAAGTATCACAGAATCGCTGTATGAAGTCGTTAAATGAACAGCAACCTGATTTCTTTCATTTTCAGGGCTGAACATCTATCATAATCTAAATAGCTTCTTTCCTGCTAACAATCAACTAATAAGTACTCCCACTCTCTGACAGTATCAAAGACACTTGAATCATTCAACTGAATCTCATCAGGGTTTCAGGGATATTTGGCTCATCTGGATTCTGGACAATTTTTTCCATCAGCAGCAGCTGCTCCTTCTGGCCACATGACCTTGAGCAAGCTCCTTAACGCCTTTGTGAACTTCAGTTTTATCATCTTCTAATCGGGGTAAAGTTACATTCCATGTCATCCCAGGTGGTTCTGAACATCCAGATTCGCTAATACATAAGAAATCATTTGGAAAATATAAATCCCTATATGATACTTTAGTGACTTTGATCTTCTTGGTTGGTGAGAAGAGCAAGACCACAGTGAATCACCTGCTGGCTCAGAGAGCCGGCCTTGGAGTTCCATTCTTGGCTATATTCAGTAGCATCTTTAAGATGGTTAACATGCAAAAGGGTTAGGATTTTTTTAAAGAAGGTTATTTGTTTTATCCTAGTTTCTAATATGTTGCCCCCAAATACAAGTATTGGTAGACATGGCATATTACTGTGCATTCTTTGACATAGATAAATTTGGGGGAAAAAGACCAGGGATAAACCATTTGCCATATTCACTAGTATTTTTCACAAAAATAATATGCAGCCTTATTGAAGCTATGATCTAGTACAAGAGAGATTACCCGACAGAAGAAACACATCATGAGACAAACAAATTTTTAAATAACTCAAATTGCCTGCAGTAACTCTTCCTAAGTTTCTTTTTCTCAACCAGCAGTAAATTCTTCCCAATTCCAACCTGGGTGCCTCTTCTCCCCCCAACCCCTCCTTATTCTGCATCACACAAAGTTATGGATGGAGCTGGTGAAAACAGAATCTCCCTAGAGGGCAGGTGGAGAAGGTGAACTTGGTGGGGGGGGATGCTGAGGACACTCATCCACTCAGAATTTTTTTTTTTTTAAGATTTTATTTTTTTATTTGAGACAGAGAGAATGAGAGAGAGAGAGCACATGAGAGGGGGGAGGGGCAGAGGGAGAGGGAAAGAATCT